TATGCTGGTTGTGATCCGACCCGGAATGAAATGGGTCGCGAAACGTGGATCTCCTGAAAACGACGTCATGCGTGAGTCTTACGTGTGTTTGACTTTAGCTGGAGTTATGGTTTCCGGTTTTGTGACTGATTTAATTGGGATTCACTCGATTTTTGGAGCGTTTGTTTTCGGTTTGACTATACCGAAAGATGGAGAGTTTGGTCAGAGATTGATCGAGCGGATTGAGGATTTTGTGTCCGGTTTACTCTTACCGCTTTACTTCGCGACGAGTGGATTGAAAACTGACGTGGCGAAGATAAGAGGAGGTGAGGCGTGGGGGATGTTGGGGCTTGTGGTGGTTACGGCTTGCGTCGGAAAGATCGTCGGAACTTTTGTTGTGGCGGTGATGGTTAAAGTTCCGGCGAGAGAGGCTTTGACACTTGGTTTCTTGATGAATACTAAAGGTTTAGTGGAGCTCATTGTACTCAATATAGGCAAGGAGAAAAAGGTTAGTTTTTTTTTTTATATAATAATATTTGCTTCGTTTTCAGTTTTTAAGGTTCTTTTAGTTTTGCTTTTAGTTATTGACTGGGGAAAAAACTAAAACCTTAATTGGACATATATGGTCAGCAATAATCATTATGAGGATTCGATCATTTTTTTTTACGGGGAAAACATAACACGATTATTATATTCATTTAAGCTCATCTTTACCTTTGTTAATTTTAGGTGTGTAGATATACTATTAATTAAAAGGTTCAAAAACAAAAAAAAATTAAAGATTTTAGGTGCGAGTTGGCTCCATGTGAAAATCTTGTAGGTAGGTTGGTTCAATTCGGGCTTGTCCATCTAGTAAATTGGTTCGATGTCAAATTATGTAATATATAGTACAACTATAATATTTGTTGAGGAGATAGATACGTTTCAATATTTTCTTTTAAATTCCATTAGTATTCATAGTCTGACCTTGAATGATTAGGGTGATAAATCCACGGAACCACACAAGGGTATAATTTTATTGGTAGTTTCGTGAAGTATAAAAAGTTATATGATCTTATATAACAATTATAAAGTCAAATATTGTAATGAGTAACCCATTAATCATCGTATGTGGTTCTTAGTTAAGTAACGTTGCGTTCGTGGGGTTTAATTATAACTTTATAATATGTAGGTACTAAACGACGAGACGTTTGCGATATTGGTGCTAATGGCACTCTTCACAACGTTCATAACGACGCCGAGTGTAATGGCCATTTACAAGCCGGCACGTGGCACACACCGAAAACTTAAAGATTTGTCGGCGAGCCAAGACTCATCCAAGGAAGAGCTTCGAATCCTAGCCTGTCTCCACGGCCCAGCCAATGTCTCATCTCTCATCTCTCTCATCGAGTCCATCCGAACCACCAAGGTACCTTTCATTATATATAGATCTTAACTTAGTTATGTTACTTATAGTGCCGGCCCTTAGATACCATAGGACGAGAGATAATTCAATAGGAATGTTATTCGGCCTAAACTATTTAAACCAATGATCCTATGCAATATAAAATTATATATTTTCTACATAATATATCTTGTTCGTTTTGGAAATGGACAAGATATTCGAGATCATAGATCACGTGTCCGGAATCCAATAAAAAAAGCAAAATTTCGGTCGGCTCCAGATCGGAAAAGTGAAATATCACACATCCATCCACCATCCAAGTATTGGACTGTGATATAGTTTCTTAACTATACATCATTCACTATACATGACTCTTTTTTTTTTTTTAAATTATACAATATTATATTTTGTTGGGGTACAAAATGTAATAAGTGGGTGTACTAATCCTGGTTAGTGCTATAATTGTTTTGGCAGATACTACAGCTAAAACTGTTTGTGATGCACCTTATGGAACTAACAGAACGATCCTCATCAATCATAATGGTACAAAGAGCCCGTAAAAACGGGCTTCCTTTCGTTCACCGTTACCGTCACGGCGAGTGCCACAGCAGCGTCATTGGAGGCTTCCAAGCCTACCGTCAATTAGGCCGAGTCGCGGTCCGACCAATCACCGCAATCTCTCCACTACCAACAATGCACGAAGACATTTGCCACATGGCAGAGACCAAGAGGGTCACAATGATCGTTTTACCTTTCCACAAACGATGGAACGTTGATCATGGCCACCAAGACGGAGATGGAAACGTACCGGAAAACGTTGGTCATGGTTGGAGATTGGTTAACCTGAGGGTTTTGAAGAACGCACCATGTTCGGTGGCGGTTCTTGTGGACCGTGGACTTGGGTCTATTGAGTCCCAAAGTTCGACCATTAATGGGTCCAATGTGGTTGAAAGGGTTTGTGTGGTTTTCTTTGGTGGACCTGATGATCGTGAGGCTTTAGAGCTCGGTGGGAGGATGGCGGAACATCCAGCCGTTAAAGTTACCGTTATTCGGTTTCTGGTTAGAGAAACGTTGAGGAGTAACGCCGTCACGTTACGGCCTGCACCGTCTAAATCCAAGGAGAAGAATTATGCCTTCTTGACCACCAACGTTGATCCAGAAAAAGAAAAGGTATATATTTTTTTTTTGCTGGTTCTAGTAATTAGTTTTTAAAGAAAAAAAATATGATACATGTAACATGTTTTAGTTTTTTAAAAGGTTTTTTTATCGATTTTATATCTCTTTTGCAATGATAAATTAGGAATCAGACGAAGGAGCATTAGAAGATTTCAAGAGCAGATGGAAAGATATGGTGGACTACAAGGAAAAAGAACCAAACAACATAATTGAAGAAATATTGTCAATAGGACAATGTCACGACTTCGACCTTATAGTGGTTGGGAGAGGGAGGTTACCATCGGCCGAGGTGGCCGCATTAGCTGAGCGTCAGGCCGAACATCCCGAGTTGGGTCCTATCGGGGACGTGCTGGCCTCTTCGGTCAACCACATCATCCCATCGATCCTTGTGGTTCAACAACACAACAAAGCTCATGTAGAGGAGATTACGGTTCCCAAAATTGTCAATGAGTCTTCTCTAAGTATTAATGAAGATACCAATGTATGATACAAAATTGATGTGTCAAACGTTACCTTAATGGTTAAAAGTGGTTAATTGAAGAAATAGTTTGTATGTACGATATAGATCTTATGTAAGAATTAATGAAAATTCACAATTTTAACTATGAAATCCGGTTGGTTTGTATAGACTAGATTTTGTACCACTCAAGTCTCAACCACATTTATAATTTTTGTTTTTTTAAGTTTTGTTTTATTTTGTTAAGCAGATAGCTTAGTATAAATCGTTCTATGAGAACTTTATTACATCAGATCATTGTATTAATCTATAATATATTTTCAATCAGAAATCAATCAGAACGATTAGCTTACTGCCAATCAATGGGAGATTCTCTTCGAAAATGAAGAATACTTTGGCGCTTAATTACATTAATACTCTGCGTGTACCCGTTAATTCAGCTGGATTTTGGAGACTCGACTCAGATAAAAACAAAGACATAAATGTTTGGTATATTTCTAGCGAGGGAACAACAGTGTAAGGCTTGGACAACGAAGGGCTGCCGATTAAATTCAACATGAGGCTTGGGCTAGAGATTAATATGTATGCATTCTATATAATTAATATGTGTCAAATACCTGATCACCAAACGCGGCTTCGGTTTGTCCTGCCTTAGTGTTATGAGTACCTTCGTTTTCATTAGACCTTCCACCACTTTTGTTATACATCCCCTTGCTATGCATGTTCCTTATCTCGTCCTTCATGTCATTTATTTCGTTTTTCAAGTCCTTTACCTCGTCCTACAGTTCTCTGAAATCCTTCTTAAAAGATTCTTGCATGTCCTTCAGGCACCCTTCAAAGATCGCTGTTGTGGTCCTCATGTGTGCTGGCCATCTGACGAAGAAGAACTGAATATTCAATTCTTGAACTATCTTGTCGGACCTATGTCGTTTCTTTGGAGGTTTATTGACATTGTCTTTTTCTTCTGCAATCAGCGTCTCATCAGTTCTACCAGCATGCTCTGACGACTCGGCATTTTCTAATTGTAACATTGCCTCATCTTTGGCGGTTTTTTCGCCTCTAACATTGCATCTTCTTCGGTGACCCCACCAGTCCATGTGTTCAGTTTAAACGGGTAGTTGGTTGCTATTAAACCAAGCATACTATCAACTGCAGGATCAAATATATAAATTTTTTGTTGTTGT